CAGGAAGCACTTAAATATTCTTAAATGCACTCTCCTTCAAGGGCAAACATTTTTAGTGTTTAGGAAGCAATACTTATGGAGGTAACTCGGGTGCTATTTTGAAAATTACACGCTACTATTATTACCCTAAGATACAGCTGTATATGTAGAACAGTTTGTCAGGGGAAAAGGCAAACTACTGAAAGCGTCAATTCCATTCAGCACACCTACCGTGCTGGATCCCTACGGTGTCAGGCAGGGTAACTACAAAGATCAGGATAAATAAACTGAATAGTACCAAAGGTTGTTTGTTCCAATCACTCAAAAAACAATTGATGTCATAATGACCCTTTTTTTTTTTTTTTTAAACTTCAGAACCAAATTTTAAGAGCCATCCCTTTGAAAAACAGGCATAATATTTTCCACTTCCTTGCCTAATCATGCCCCAGGGCTCATGTTCTGTGGCTTCTCTGCGAAATTTTCCTAACGCTGCCTACCCCATTCCATCTTCAAGAAGGCACTGGGGTAGAACTGGGAATGTGTGTGTGTGGATGCGTGTGCATATGTGTATTATGTGTTTGTTGCGGGGAGAGGGGGGGGTGTCTTCCTTTCCTATTTTGCTCCACAGATATACAGTACACAGATATTACACTTTTCACATTGCATCCTATTTGTTATGGTCTCACTGATAAAACAAAACCCTAGGGTCATGTACTGTGTCTCAATGTACCTCTGTTTTCCCAAGGTAGGAATAATGCCCATCACTGCTCCTTAAATGTTTACTGAGTGAGTGAATGAATGAATGTTTTGACTGTGAGCTTTATTTCAGACTCCAGAATGTTTGATAGTCAAAATATTCTCCATGATGGATGTCAAAAATTTCCATGCATGCATATAAATACACTTCAGGATAAGAAGTTTGTTAAGGTGTAACTTACGTCCCTGAGTTTTGACGAATGGACACAATTGAGTAAGAGTAAGTGGATCTTATACTTGCTTGGCTCCTGTCCTCAGGGCCTCTGACTGTGGGGCTTGGGTGCTAGGGTTTTTAACAACTCCTGTGGTGATTCAGAGAAGAATTCTTGGAGTAGATGATGCTGTGCACTGAATTCTAGATTTCCTTTCCTTTCCTCAGCCCCATCCCTCACTCTTCGTCAACTATCAGTACTGAAGATGAAACCAAAACATTTCTACTCAGCACAACACTGGAAGCAAAACCTAGGTACCTCAGCCACTTGGCTGGAGTTAACTATAATTTCTGGTTGTTTAGCAGAAATACAGTTACTAAATGATATTTTTAAATGAACACGAGACGGGATATTCACTTGAAGAAATAAAAATGTCTTTGAATCAGAGTGAATAGAAGGACTATGATTTAAATGAGGGACTAACCCAGAAATACTGTAGGGAAGGGATGGGGTGAGAGAAGAAATGTGGCCTTACAACATACTGTTTTGATTTCAAATGCAAGCTTACACCTAAAGTTTCAGGAGCTTTGTGAATGAGAGAGATTGACACAAGGTCAAAACCTAAGGAAGACAGTGCTGAAGGAAAACGGGGGAAATTCATTTCTCTGGTTTGAATGGTGTCATCCTTCAATTGCTGGAGGAGGCCACGGGATAAGGGGGAGAAAAGGTATTCTTTTCTTTAGCTTTTATTTAACTGAGAATGTTGGGAGATGTGGAATCTGGCCTCTAACTAAGAATATGGGGGACACCTGGGTGGCTCAGTTGGTTAAGTGTCCAACTTCAGCTCAGGTCGTGATCTTGAAATTTGTGGGTTCGAGCCCTGCATTAAGCTCTATGCTGTCAGCCTGTCAGTACAGAGCTTGCTTCAGATCCTCTGTCCCCTCTCTCTGCCTCTCCCCAGCTTGTGCTCTGCCAAAAATAAATATTTTTTTAAAAAAGAATACGGGCCAATCTTTTCCCGACTCAAATTTCTATTTTTTACAAGTTAGGGTTTCTATTTAGGTGAAGTCCATCATAACAAACACCAGGAGCCCATCAACATTCTTCTGTCATTCCCATGATTATAATTATAATCACATGATTATATTATAATTGAATAGTTCAAGTAATAGGGTCAATGGCCAGAGACTTGACATTTAGTAGAAATGGAATCTGACCTTTACTGATGTTTCACTGTGAAAAGTGTTCTTGGTTTCATTGTGAATAATGCTCAAGATGGGCCTGATGTATGACTAGTATTTGACTTGTTAGAAAGAAGAAACCATCATGAATCAAAACAGAGATATACTTGGTGTAAAAACAGCTAAAGACTGTATACTGTGCCAACGTGTTCTTCTGAGGTCCTGGGACACTACTAGTCTGCATGTGTGTTAAGAGTCCATGGATTAGAATGGATTTTTCCGAAAGGGTGAGTTAAAAAAAAAAAATCACCCTGGTTTTGAAAACTGCCACCCGGTTACCCCTAAGAGAAAGGAAATCATGGAAACTGCGGTGGAGACATTTGGAAGTACACTTCACAGTGTCATTTACCAGGCAGGGTATGTGGGTCTCACCAGCTGCCAGCTCAGGGGAAAGTGCTGAGCTAGGGGTTATGACCAAACCAAGCGTCTCTCTGTAATTAGAGTTAGCTGGGGGGAAAGTGGCACACGGAGGACAGGAACACGTGGCCTCAGACTGGGGTGGAGAGTGGGGAGGACAAGAAAGCTGATTAAGTTTCTCTCGAGAGATGTCAATTAAAGACCCTCTAGGTGTGGCCCTGGACCACTTTGCTGCCCATACGCATAGCTGTGAGCCACATCAGATGCTTGAAACGTGGCTTGTTCAAACCGCGATGTGCTGTTGAGGATAAAAGACACACGGAGATTTCAAAGATTGAGCACAAAAATGTTTCAATAAGTTTTAATATTGGTTACATGATGATATAATAGTTTAGATACATATTAGGTTACAGTCTATTATTAAAATTAATTTTACCTATTCCTTTGTACTTTCATGTAACATGGCTACTAGAGAATTTTACATTACACATGCCCTTTGCCTTCTATTTCTATTGGACAGCATGGATTTGGACCTTCATTTCTTCACTTGTTAAATGTTACTGGTAGTGGGAACCTGGGTCGTGGAAGGGTTAGCATGGGAAGAAAACCATTGTGGACAATGAGTGACATATCAGGGTGGAGCATTATGGTTATTACTTGGTGACTGGAAACGTGAACTTCAGGAAATGTGAGGAGTAATCACAAGAGACCCAAGCTAATTAGGTCTGACCTGGGTCCCACTCAACCTGCCTGTGCCTCAGGTTGTTAAGCTGTAAAATGGGAGGTCAGGACTAAATTCCTGCTGGCTGAAGACCAGAGAGGGCCTCTACCTGCAACCACTCCCTGTCACTTCAAACTCAAGGATAATTTCTGCTTAAAAGAATTAGAATTAACCTAATCGGTCTGTATCCTTGGCCAACACTGTGACGGCTGAGGCCCATTCTTAGAAGCACTGCTATTTATCTGTGTCTGTTCTTCTCGTGGGAACAAGCTCACAGTTTCTTCTGTGACTTGTTAATACAGTTAAATATACACAAAGAACAAGGAGTGCAAGGTGGGGAAAACAGACAGACTTCATCTCCCTGATACGGACTCAGATAACAATTTTAAAAAGAAAAATCCTACAAATGATATTCAGAGGGAAATGCATTTGTTTTCTTTTTTTAAAAAAATGTTTGAGTTTATTTGTTCATTTATGGAGACAGACAGAGAGAGAGGTTCTCTCTGAGAACCCAAGCAGGCTCCTCACCGTCAGCACGGAGCCCAATGGAAATGTGGGGTGTGAACTCATGAACTGTGAGAACATGAACTGAGCTGAAATCAAGAGTTGGACACTTAACCAACTGAGCCACTCAAGTGCCCCATATTTGCATTCTTCCAAAGCTACAGATGAAATATCCAAACCTACCAATTAAGAAATCCAAGGCTTTATAATGATGTATCAGTTAAAGAATTTTTCCATAAAACCCAACTTTCCCCCTTCTTCAAAAATCAAACACCCCTCAAATCAAATTTCAAGAACATTAATTTCTCTTTAAAAGAGGATGTTAAAAACAAGCAAACAAAGCATTCCATTTCTAAACCAAGCTTTGGCTGATATGCGGGGGCCTTAGCCGGCTGCAGCCCAGGTGCTGGAAGCTAGTGATTCCGCTGACGAGTGTCAGAGTATATAAATCGGTTACCAACGTGGAAAAGTTGGGATGGTTAAAGTACAGATGGAGATTTCTGATAGTACTGGGCCCCCATCTGTCTGAGCTCCAGTAGCACCTGCACCTTTTAGGTGTGTGTGGCTTGTGTTCCTCCAGCTGCACAGCCCCCTCCTGGCTGACTTTTCCTTGTTCACAGACCTACCCAGTCAGGTAGGCATTTGTATAAGGCGAGAACTGTAGGTGGGAGACACTGCCAGGAGCCGGGGATCAGAAGGAACATGGCAAAGTTGAAAACCTTGGCTCTAAGCCTGACAGATCTGGCTTGACCTCAACTCTACTACAGGAGCTGGGTGACCCTGAGCAAGTCCCTTTGTTCGCTAGTCTGAACTGTTGTGTGTATGGCAGGGGAAAGTGAAATAAGTTCTGTAGATAAGGAGCCTATGCAGTACCCGGGCAGGTAGTAGTAAATGGCTCCATTGAAGTTACTCCTTCTTATCTTAAAGACAAAGAAATGTGTTTAGCATACTCTATTATCACAGAAAAATATGACTTACTGCCAGGGAGCTGGCTAAAAAAGTCATCACTGTAAAATTATGAAGATTCATTCACTATAAAGAACTGAGGGAGAGAAAGCAAAGGGTAAAAACTTATCACTGTCCCAGTGTAATAACGGGTACAGGGGACGATTATCCATTGGTACTCAAGGCACTGGAAGAAAGGTAGGTGGGTGACAGGATGTTCACAAAGGATCCATGTACCAGCCCACAGATGCCTTTATGACTCAAAGTGCATCTGAACATAGGTGAGGTCTGGTTACCACCTTACTCAAGAGGTCAAACAGAGCACTCTGGATGGCGGGACAAGCTGACACCATGGGCCTCCTGCTGTGATATCATATAAAGCATGTATTACCACCTATGAAGTATTTTTGCCAAAAAAATGTTTAACCTGCATTTAATACCAAGCTTCTAGATCTAACAATTTTCAGGAAGAGAGAAGGAACAAGTTGAACAACACCAGGAAGAAACAAGCAAGGCCAGAATATAGGACATTCTAGAGTACACTAGCCTGGACAACTGGTGAGGTCTTAATATGGACTGGATATTAGATAAGATCATGGACTTATTGTGAATTTCTTAGGGATAACAGTTTTGTGGTTATGTAGAAGACTTTGTACTCTTAGGAGATACATAATGAAAATATTTAGAGGTAAAGTATTAAGATGTTTGCAATTTTCAAATGGTACAGCAAAATTTATATAATGTATGCTATATATGTTATATATAATACATATAAATATGTCAAAATAATTGGAAGAAGAAATAAAGCCAACGTGGCAAATCCAGAACAATTGGTTCTGGTGAAACCAGGTAAAGGACACATAGGTGTCGGTTCTACCATTCTCCCAAACTGGCAACTCAGGTTTTTCAGAATAAAAAACTGGGAAAGAAACTGGGAGAGAGAGAGAAGAAAAATATAATAGGAAAGAAAAAAAATCATATATCACTACCTCCTCTCTTCATAATCCCCTTGACATTTATATTCAGGTCAGCTTCACTGTGTCTTCATTCAATACAGTTATAGTTTTACCCCTTTAATAAATTTCATGTGTGCTCATTCAGACTGATGGGGCTACTGTTTTGGCTGCTTTCTTGGGTGACATTCAAACCAAACTCTAAACAAAGCTCCAATAGCAGGCTTTCGAAGAGCACCAAGTAGATGTGAAGCCTAAGCTACCATATCAAAAACTCCTGAAACTGATACCTAACTCCCTATCTGGATGGCTCTGAAGCCAGTGTGATTGGATCAAAGGCTTGAGGTGGAGCATTCTCTCAGGCTTTGATCTTTTTCAAAGATGGCACTCTTTCGAGGCATTGTCTCGAGGCATTGCATGTCACATGCACTGACAGTGTGAGCCAGCTTGGGATTCTCTCTACCTCTCCCCAGCATGTGCTCTTTCTCTCAAAGTAAATACACTTAACCAAAAAAAATACGGTATTCTCTCCACCTGCACTGGTCATTGATAGAGGAATGACAGATACAGGGTGCGGGTCAACCCAGCCACAGAGGTCTCAGAAGCCACATAGAGCATGCTGTGCCTGTGTTCTGGTGCACAGAGTAGCGATGGCACAACCCAAAGCAAAGTCTGTCAGAACTCAAATTTTAATGCAGTGAGAGCTCCCAGTGATGTGGGAATTAATTCTGTGATGCCTTTAACATGGACAGGGCCATAAAGGGCCTGGATTCAGACAGCACAGATACAAGCTCAGTTCTATTGCACATGTTGGCTGCACAACTTCAGAGCAGTGTTTCTTTGTGGGGGTGCAATGAGCACTTTGTGGGGGACAGCTCTTCACCGGGCAGGACTGTCCAGGGCACTGGAGGACATTTACCAATTACCCGACTACCACATCCTGACAGGCCAACACTACCTCCAATCTTTGAGAGGGGGATGACAAACAGTCCCAAATGCCCCCTGCCTAAGACATGGGCTAAATTTTCTGAGTCGCAGATTTTATCTGGGGATGATACCTGTTCTACCACCTAAGAAGGGATTTAGGAAGAACAGCTCTTTATAAACTTAAATTAGCTATACAAGTGATACCACAATTCCCATTTGCACGGACAGCCTTATCAGTCAGAGGCAGGTCTACAGAGTGGGTCTGAATACCTGTATCCCACTTGGGATCTATTACACAGGGTTAGCTGTCCAGTCATGTACTAGAATATGTAACAGCTACATATTCTGAGAATGTTTCCCCTCTAAGTGGGAGATCCTAGTTTGTAAGCATTGCTACAGACCAACCCCACACTGCAGTGTAAATTTCAGAGGGAGGGCTGTTGGCAGATTCCTGGGCCCCTGGAGCAGACAAGAAGGATGGTGGCCTCATAGTAGCTTCAAAGGATCTGGCTTAGGGATGGCACCTAAACTAACCTGGAATGAGGACACTTCTCTTAGTGAGCAAGAAATTACTTCCAGGATCAAGAGAACAAGGTAAGAGAATATGATGCTCTACCCTCCCATGCACGGCAGAGTAAGGAGCAGCATATGCACACATCTGACCTTCACAATGGCTGCTCTGTTCTTTGCATCTTTCAGTCATGCTCATGGGAGGGAATCTTAGAGGCAGGGTAGGGCTTCATATCAGTGTGCACAAGAGTCACCTGGAGGGTGGCAGAAAGAACGCACCTGCCATAGGGGTTCAGATTCGGTCCATCTAGAGGGGGCCCAGGCACCTGCACTCTTAAATAGTCTCTTTGGGTGATTCAGATGCAGGTCACAGACTGCCTCTGGGAGAACAGAGACACCTCTCCAGAGATTTCTACACTTAGGAGGCTTTGCCTTCAACTCTCCCCCATGGAGCATTCTTGCTCATTTTATTGCCTTCATGACTTAGAATTTAGGTAAAAGTGCTTCTCTGCCCTCAGGTGTGGTTGTTTTTTTGGGTTAAAAAATTGGTCTTCCTCTACCTCTCTCTGCTCCTCTTCCCCACCCATCTACCACACACACTGTATAAAGGAAAAGCTGATTCTATTTTGTTGATCTAATCTCTCCCCTATCATTCACTTTCAAATGAGGACTAGGAAACGCTGACTGGACAGAAAGTTCCAACCCTTCCTTTAAGAGAGGCCAAAGGCCTCAGGTATTAATAGGGAGGCGAAGGAGGTCACCCAATGCAGAGTTGGGAAAAGGCACAAGTCCTTTATTTTAATATATTTTTTCTCTTTCTTTTCTTTTTCTTTTTCAGAAAGAGAAAGAGTGAGAGTGGGTGGGGGAGAGGGGCAGAGGGAGAGAGTGAATCTCAAGCAGGCTCCACAGTCAGCGCGGAGCCTGACATGGGGCAATTCTGGGATCCTGAACTGAGTTGAAATTAAGAGTGAGATGCTCAAATGACTAAGCCATCCAGGTGCCCCCAAAGCACAAGTATTGCAGAGGAAAGTTCAAGTGGATACCGACTCTGGGTCATCAGCTGTCATAAAAGGGCACTGAAGTGGCCTGCAAGTATTACCCAGGGGTTGAAGAGGCAGTGCTGGCAAACAAGAAGCTATACATGTGTAGCTTTTCCATCATTTCTTACGTTAACATATTTAGCACGAACAGGGCTTTACTCTCACCTGACGCTGCTTGTTATTCAGCTTTGGTACATTCCTCCAAATTCTATTCAGCTTAAAAAACAGAAGCCTGATAATGCGAAGTCCCTAAGTCCCTGGGCTTGGCCATCTGAAATGAGATCTTTTATCCTTCTCTTCTCCAACCTTCCAGAATGCATTTTTTGCAAAGGGAAAGATTATCAGAAAAAGAAAAATGAAGGGTAGTAAAGTCGAAAGAATATGATACTAAAGGTTTTGGTAAGAAAATATTTATGTCCGCTAGCACAAGCCACACCCTTTCTGTGAAGATATTACTAGCCTTGAAGCTGGGTTAGTAGATCCCAAAATATACCTCACAAAAAGCACAGTTACCCTCCCAAAATAAGCCCTATAATTAAAGCCTTTTCAAGCGGATTGTCCTATATCACAACTTGACATATGTTGCTTTAATCTCCCTGTTTTAGCAAATGTAGCCATCTTGGGCTACAAAAGCTCTCAGTAACTTACATTTGAACCAGACTGTGGTGTCACTAGGAAATTGATGCAAATAAACAGCCCTGTGTACCAAAATACCCAATCTCAGTCGTCTGTAATGAGATCTCTCTCCTCCCTAAGCACATTTTCATCACACCACAATTGTTGCCCTTGATTCAAAAGGGAGGACTAGCTCAGATTGAAACACCATTTTATCTCAGAGGCTATCTTGAGGCAGGCACTTCTGAAGAAGCTGGGGCCGAAATTAAAATATGAGATGACCTCTTTTGTGCGAATGCGGGGATCATGTTGTGTGGGTCTCATTTTCAGTTTACAGTCATCAGTATGAGCCTTCAGACACCCATCTGTCTTGCTGAAGTCATGTCTTGCTTGGAGTCAGGGGCTGTGTAAGAGAGAGTCTTTTACGAGAACTTTCAGCCCTATAATTCTCTGACCAAACATCTTTATGTTTTCTGGTTCTATACTGACCTATAATTAAATGCCAAAATATTTACAATTTTTACACCTTCAAAATAATAAGTAGTTTGGGTATTAAAAATTTTTAAATTCCTTCTGTATCCAGTTTCTCAGTCTCAGCATTTCTGACACCTTGGGCCCAATCATTCCACAGGGGGGGTTGCTGTCCCATGCACTACAGGGTAGTTAGTAGTTCGCACAATCCATGGCCTCCACCCACTCGATGCCCGTAGCACACATCTCCCCTGCCTCCTGCTGTGACAACCAAAAATGTCTTCAGACATTGCCTAGTGTCCTTTGGGAGAACAAAATTAACCCGGGTTGAGAACTACCGCTCTCTGTTTATGTATTCATATATCTCCCCCTGGTATGGCCGGGGAGGGGGGCGGAATCTAGATTTTTCAAGGTACTCACAAGTTTTCATTTTAAGAACTTCAGATTTTCTGTGACTCCTGATGAGTCAGCATCTGTGATACAGTGCTACCTCGGAAGATTTATAAACAGCTCTACTGCTGTCTTAAACAAAGGGTGGCGAGGCCTGGCCTCATTTCAGTTAAGACGCTTAAGAGGATGGATTTGCTGTCACCCTATCTCTCGGACAGCTCTCCTCCCTACTTTTAAGAGTTCCATTCTTAGAAGACTCCTGTTAACAAACCCTTCATGATCCATTACCAGGCACTCAGTACTGACTGCAAAGGAAAAACATTAGGGTTGTTGTCTCCTGACATCATCTACAGATGCAGCGGCCCACTGCATCGCTGGTGGGCTACACCACCTCCGTTGCATGGTGTCCAGCGCTGGGCCATGTGTACAGGGGGGGTGTGGTAAAGCAGATGCTTCCTCAAGGAGAGGCACGGTGGGGACGGAGGGGGAAAGGATATCAGGAGACAAACAGTACAAGAATGGAACATGGTTAAGTTCAGCCCAGACAAGGGAAGATGAATGAGGGAGAGTGTCTCCAAATACCGGAAGGGCTGGTGTGTGACAGAGTGGACAGACATGTCTCTGTCTGCTTAGAAAGTGACTAAGAGCACAGGTGGCTCAATAAATATTTATCACAGGCCTTCCATGTGCCAGGCACTGTCCAGGCACTGAGACCAGAGGAAGGAAAAAGACCAAGGTCCTGCTTCATGGAACATATATCATAGTTCATTGTAATGACTAGATTGCTTTCCTTCTCTCCCTGCTTCCCTTCTTTCTTCCCTCTTTCTTTTTAACAATCTGAACTACATGCCCAGGTATTTGACTGCTTTTTTTTTTTTTCATTTTAAAACTAAGGTTTAATTAAGATAGAGTAAAATTCAGTCTCTTGTTGTAGAGTTCTATACATTTTCAGGAAATACACAGTTGCATAAATATCACCACAGATGGGGGCGCCTGGGTGGCTCAGTCAGTTGAGCATCTGACGTCTCCTCAGGTCATGATCTCGCAGTTTGCGAGTTCAAGCTCCACATCGGGGTCACTGCTGTCAGCGCAGAGCCTGCTTCAGATCCTCTGTCCTGCTCTCTCTGCCCCTCCTCTGCTTGCCCTCTCTCCAAAAATTAAAAAAAAAAACATAAAAAAACAATACTGCCTATGGTATCTTGATCTGGTATCACGGATCAAGATCCAGAACAATTTCATTACCCCCTAAAATTTTCCTGTGCCCCTTAACTTTTTTTTTTTTTAAATTGGTGCAAGCTGCTCTGCCAGGTAGCAAGCTCCTCACCGCTGAGAGAATTTGGATTGCCCTTTGCATGGATTCTGTAGAAGAGATTTGACTTGCGTTACTGGGAGAATGGGCCGGACAACCCCTGAAGTTGTGTCCACCTCTTCAGCTGTATGAAACAAAGACGTCCACTTGGGGACACCTAATCTTAAACACCAGCCCAGCTGCAGTGATACAGCTGATTCCCTCCCACCACAGGAAAAGCCCCAACCCAAAGTCGAATTCTTGTAGTTAAAGCTCAAAACTTTCAGTCTGATAACTGGATCTCTGGGAGGAGTACATAATAAGCACAGACAGACAAACAAACAAACAAGTAAATAAAAATAGAGCTTTGGAAATGGATGCCTAAATATGGTAACCGAAACCCTAACCATGGGTACCATCCACTCCCGACCCTTCTTTTCCTTATTATTTTCATTCAAAGTAACATTAACTCCAAAACTGAACAAAGCTCAAACCCAAACTCAAAACTCTAACTGCACTTGGCTGCAAAGGCAGCAGGAAGGGAAGTTAAGTTGGCCATGCATGTCTCAGAATGGGTAGGCAGAGGTGGAGAAGACGGCAAATGTCTTGGGGCTCCCACAAGGTGTTATAGAGTAGACGGACTATGGTGACCAGCTGTGACGTCTCTTGTGACAGCAAATGTGGTGTGACCAACCCGCCCCCGGTGGTCCTCCGGCTGGGAGATATGTACCCCTTTTGGTGGTCTGCCTTCAAAGGCAAATGTCTAGTTTCTAAACGAGGCTGTCCTGTTATCAAGAATAACTGCTTTATCGAGCATCTACTATGCCCCAGAACTACCTAGCTTGTTTTATTCTCATGACAACCTTATGACGGAGGCCACATCACAAGCCTTGTTTTACAGATTAGGAAACTGAGGCTCAGGGAGGGTATATGTAACAACCAGTTAGGGTAGAACTTAGACTTTAACCCGGGTCTCCTGATCTCAAAGACTGTTCTTTTTACTACCACGAGCAAGGTCTTTTGGGTGGTCGCTGAACTTAATGTTCTTGGTCTCTCCAGCCACTGTTACGTCAGGGCTGGCTCCCGGAAGTGCTGAATTCTTGCTTCCCTTCAACTTCCCATTTCCCAAGCAGCTGACTGCCTATTTCTTGTTTCAACATAGACCATAAGGACTTCTATGCAGTGGAGAATCTTTGTTGCTGTTGTTATTCTATTGGTCTGCAGTTTATTTCTCTTGTAGTCCATGGGTTACCTAGACTGTAAGCTCAACTGCAAAGGGTATTCTTTACCCTGTATTCAGAAACTTTCCTAAATCTAGATTTCTTATTAAATCTTAGAAAACTCCGTATTTCTTAATAACATATCAGGAACAAGAAAAAAGTCATACTGTCAGAAAGTATCAACTGAATGTTACATCTAATTATAAAATCCCATTTTGTCTAAGTTTAGTGTAACGTAAAAGATGCACAAAACAAGGCACTGGCTTCCCTCTTGGGCACAACTGTACAACAAAAGATAACAGAAGGGAATGCAGCAACACTTACCAAAATTTCCCCCAACTATCACAAACTTCATACACACCACATGTCTTCTAATACAGCTGCTGGACCAGTCCTGAAACAGAAACCACAACAAAAGGAAAAATGCATCTCTAGACAAGAGTAATTTACCCTTCTGGAAACCACAATGCCTTCCTTGTTTGAGGCACCCATCAATGTACCAAACTCTTACTGCCAGATTCCTCTTTGTTTTTCACAGGAAGATGAAACCAATTTACAAATTAACTCAGTACCCACTAATAACAAATAAATTAAAATCAGGACAATGAAATAAACCAGAAACTGTGTTCGTACTTGATCTGAATTTTTAGCCCTTAAAATAATTGAAGACAGGGACGCCTGGGTGGCTCAGTCGTTTAGGAGTCCAGCTTCGGCTCAGGTCATAATCTCATGGTTCGTGGGTTCCAGCCCCCTGTCAGGCTCGGTGCTGCCAGCTCAGAGCCTGGAGCCTGCTTCAGATTCTGTGTCTCCCTCACTCTCTGCCCCTCCCCTGCTCACGCTCTGTTTCTCTCTCTTAAAAAAATAAACAGAAAAAAATTAAAAAAATAAAATAATTTAAGACAAAAGAACTATGCGAAAAGATCTAAAATTGAATCCATAAAAAATTTCTCCCCCAAACCAATTCCTCTTTCCTGTTTCTTTTAATAACACACTCTGTTCTCCCTTTCCTCACCTTTCTTTTCTAGACTTCATTTCCTTATCTGTAAAATAGGGATTATTGTATTGACCTCCCAGAGTGTTTATGGAGGTGAAATCATATAAATTTAATGACATAAATGTCACAGAAAGGCTTAAAACAGCAGCTGGCACGCAGTACACACTCAGTGCATGCGGGGAGCTATGATCTGTCTCCTAATCACCCAGGCCTGAAAGCAAACACGGCCTTCCTCACCTCCACTGGACACCGTGGTCCTGGCCTGCCCTTCTTGCCCTGCTGGCCTGCTGGACCTCACTGCCTTCTCTCTCTCTCTCTCTCTCTCTCATTATCACACTGGCTGGCATCACACCTTGCAGAAACACGATTCCTGGCCCCAGTTTCTTCCCTTCAAATCCATCTCACGGCTCTACAAAGCATCCTCCCTAAACCAACTTAAAGCCTTCTGGAAGCACCTTCTACTGCTTCCCATGACCTTCAAATTTATCTGTGAGATTACATTAGCCTGGGACTCCAGCTTCTCCTCCACTTTCTCTCCACGTCTTCCATCGGAAGATGCTGTCACCATCCTGCCTGAGCCTGCGGGCCTGCCAGCTTCTTCTCCGAGTGTCTCTGCCCCACAACTGCGGGTAAGGGGCCCAGCCATGCTCTGAGGCAGAGGTTCTTTATCCCTTTTGTGCCACTGCAGCCTAGAGATATGTTTCTCAGAATAATGTTTTTATTTCTTTTTAAAGTTTATTTTTGAGAGAGAGTGTGCATGTGAGCAGGGGAAGGGCAGAGAGAGAAAGCGGGGGAATCCCAAGCAGGTTCCACACTGTTATAACAGCGCGGAGCCTGACACAGAGCTCGAACCCACGAACTGTCAGATTATGACCTGAGCTAAAACCGAGTCTGATGCTTAACTGACGAGCCACCCAGTGCCACTCAGAAGAATGTTTTTAACTGCTTGAAATTAATACAAGCAATGAACAGGATTCAAAAGAGGGATACTGACGTGTAGGTATCAAAATATTTAACAAAATTGTGATGTTTCTTTTTGATATTTAAGTAAGGTCCAGCAAAAGTCTAATAATTACTGTAATTTGAAGTACGATTGGGCATAAATGGTATTTTAGAATATCTAAAACTATAAAGTAATATGAGAACACCCATAATTTCTATTGGTGACAGGTAGCTAATGCTACTTTCATAATACAAGGCAATGTTAGATTTTGATGAATGGCTAGTGAAAATAATTTTTCCCCCATCTAATTTCATAGACCCCTGAACTGCGTCCATGGATCCCCGGTCATGAGCCCCTGCTCTCAGGCCTGGCCTACCTACCTCTCTTTTTCTGGAGCTCTTTCTACTTTGATTTTTCCAGCGTGCTGTTATCTTACCCCCATTTTCTGTTTTCAAAAATTACGTTTTATTTGATATAGATACTTGAAATACACTCACTGATCTTACTTTTTAAGCTGTAATGGAAGGCCTCTTTTTTCACTCCTCCCTTGGCTAACATTGCCTCGCCTCCCAGCGCACAGGTGGGAAGGCACGCAGGCAGCACTGTCTGGATGAGTGAGTTGAAGGTGTGCTTGCCTCCCCCACACCAACTCAGCTAATATGACTACTATTTCATCTCTCTCTGGCAGCTTGGGAGGTCCTAAATATGTAGACAGGACACCTAACCGCTCCATATTGAGGGTATAAACTACTGAAATTAGGCAACAAACTATTCTCTTCTTTTACTTCCCTTTAGAGAGCATGCTCAGTGCTGCTGACAGATCGCACAGAAACAGATCGGACGTCTCACCATCCCGTGTGTGACACAAGCCCAACCCCTTCCCTCGTGGAGTCCTGAGTCTAGCAGCTTTCCCCAGCTAGTGCAGAGAAGCTGAGCAACTAGGATTCTCTAGACCTTTCAGGGCTTTTGCAAAGACAAGAAATATCCAGTGATTTCCTAAGTATGGATACCTTGATGGCCTATGTAGACAAGGCCAGTTAAGTTGCTCTGGCTTCCCACTGGTCTCACTGATGTGAGCCTATGGTCCCAGTAGATGTGGCGGTGAAATGTCACCTTCTCTAAGTGACACTGTCCTTGCATATGAGGTTGGGGATAGCAACCCCAACAAAAAGACCATCTCAGGATTTCACTGAGCCCCCTTGGGTCTGTGATGGATCTGCCTCAAGATAGACACCAGTCCTTTGGTCTTACCAGCTTCTTCCCTAAATAGCTACAGCTCAGTTCAGTCAGAAGAGCATGCGACTCTTGACCTTGGGGTTGTGGGTTTGAGCCCCACGTTGGGTGTAGAGAGCACTTAGATAAATAAACTTAAAAAACAGTAACAGAAGAGTTCTTCCTTTTCAAATGATCAAAGTAAAATGACTTCCTCCACTTATAAGGGCATTGTGACCATTTGCTTTGGAATAAATTCACCACTGGCAGCATTTTCCATGCTCACCATCATATCAAGTGACTCTTAGGACAGTAGGGGTATACTTTCTCTCCCCAGAAACTACAAAGATGAGACAGCCACTCAAAACAAAGGATGGCCTTGGCATACTCTTTTTAAACTTAAGGACATTTATATCCCTCTCACTTGAATTTGTTCTTTTTGAGACACACTAGATATATGGCATTAAATAAAAAGAGCTTAACGATAATGGACAGCAGCATGACTGTTCAATCTTTTGTTTCAAGATTTATCACATCTACATCCTCATAAACTGTAAGATATTTACAGACGTTCCCACACAACACATTGCACTGCATGTACTCTTTGATTCTAATACATATCATAGACTATGTGCGGCTCCTGGTTTAAAGGTAACATTCTCATTACCACTGGGAACAAGTACCTCTAAATGGTTCTCATCTGGTACAGGTCATCCCTTCTCCCCTCTTCCTAACAGATCTCCTATATTCCTTCAGTCACAGTGCCTCAGGGGCAGGCGACAGCACTTCCAGCTGGAGGGTGGGGACCTGAAGGGCCCAAGGCTTTGCAGTGTGCCAACCAGCGACATCAGCATCACACTGGGAGCTTCTGAGAAATGTCAGCTCTGAGGTCCCAGCCCAAACCTACTGAGTCACAATCTATTTTACAAGATCCCCAGGTGATCTGTGTGTCCACCAGGTTTCAGATGCACTGATCTAACGGGAACGCATTCCTCTTGCCAGTGATTACTTCAAGACTAGGCATGTGACCCAATGCAGGCCAACGAGATGTGAAGAACGGTTCTGGAGCTGCTTCTTGTTCTGAGATAAATTCCTCCTTTCGGAATGTTCCATGGGATGTAATGCCTAGGGCTTCTGTAGCTACCTTGTTCCAGTCTAATGATAAAGCTGGCCCAGAGAGGAAGGTAAAGACAGAAAACCCCAGTGAAGCAGAGTGAGGGTGACTGCATTAGGTCAACCCTGAAGTCTGTGGAACCAATGGAGCTCCAGGAAATTTCGTATTGTTCAGGCCTCCTTGATTTGGGTTTTCAATCACCAGTAGCTGGAAAGCGTCTTGACCAGTCAGTGCCCAAAAAAGCATTATGAAAGGAACAGAACACCGAGGCACTGCATCAAGAGACCAGAGCAACAGCTTAGAGACTTGTTTTGCTTGGGGAAGTGACCCAGGGGTATTTCTGGTTCTGACAACCTTTGTTCACTTTGCACATTTCCAAGAGTCTTCTAAATCAGCCAGTTTAAATGATCAACCAGAGGAAGTGCTGAACACTTTCCAAATTATTTTAGCCAGTGTGGTCAACAGTTGCTTTCCCCAAAAGCCACATGGATGTCATTTCCTGTAAAGACAATGGGAGACTAATTGCTCAGCCTCAGACTCCAGTAGGGAAGACAACCTGTGACATGTAATTACTGGCAGGGTAAATAAGGAAAGGCTTGAGGATCTCAGAATCTGCTTCTGGATCCACTCCAATAACTTGGGGAAAAGTAAAAAAGAGCCAGCTGGTCTAGGAAAAGATTGGAGGGGCTAGCAGCTTAGGCAGTTGCTCACAGCATTTTTACATACCGCTGGTACTTATTTAAGACCTTTCTGAGGAAGCCAAGTAGATCTGCTCTTATATAAAACCATATATGGCTTTGGTGTAATTTTATTTCATGTACAGGAGTGATGTGGTCAAGGAGACTTGGGTGTCTAAATGGACATTATCTCTTCTGTGTGTTACAGATTCTTAGCACCAACAGGATATTTTCAGGGATGGGTTTGTTATGTAGGCTTGATGAAAAATGTACTCTCTTTCTTTTTCTTTTTTTTTTTTTTTGAGTTTATTTATTTTGAGTTTATTTATTTGAGAGAGATAGCATGAGCAGAGGAAAGGCAGACAGAGAGGGAGAAAGAGAGAATCCCAAGCAGGCTCCCTACTGTCAGCATGGAGCCCAACACAGGGCTCAAACTCACAAACTGTGAGATCATGGCCTGAGCCAAAATCAAGAGTCAGATGCTTAATTGAACCATCCAGGCAGCCCCAAAAACGTGATTTCTATCATGGAGTGAACATTAGTTGGTTTTCCACAGAATTTTCCTTATATTCTATCACCTCAGATCTTTTTCTCTCCAAACATTTTTGCTTTCTCTTCTCTGGTTATTTCATATACTTCCATAGCTCCAACAATCACCCCTTGTCATGTGTTTCAAACTATAGCCCTAGATCTATCACCCATGTTCCCAGTTCCTTTGCTGCCTCCTAGATATAATGTACCTTGAAGGTAGGGACCTCATTTTGGTCACTTGCTAGTGTATCAAGGCTTATGACTGGCTGGTGCTGAGTGTTACATGTTTGTTGAATGAATGAGTGGCTTTACTCAGAGTCTCAGGATGACTTAGAGAGGTTCTTGCTATCACCTCCTAACTGGCCTGACTTTAGTGTCTCCTTTCACCACTCTATGGACATACAGGAAAGCTCTGAATTACTGCTCTTATCATGACAGTTCCAGAATGCCCCAGCTGGGAATGACTTATCAGCTGCACTTTCCAGGTGAGAAACTGGTCCCAGTGAGACCAGGAGACTGGCCTTAGGTCTTACAAATGGTGGGTGGCAGAGACAGGATTGTAACTCAGGATGCTAACCAGTGGTTCTTGCTACCATGCTACTGACTGGTTTGAAATCTTCAATGATCTTTCAGTAGAACATAGTACAGGGATAGATATATAGTAGTCACATAATAAATATTTGTTAACTGACTGGATAGTGACTCCCTTGTGCGTATACCAACGGGTTTCAGTTTTTCTTACAGTGGAATACCCATTAAAGAAAGACGATTCTCCAGTACACAAAATGGAGAAGAAAGGAGCTGCTCTGGACCTCTGCCCCTGCAGTGCCTCTGAGCCACCTCCTAAGAACCTCAGGGCTTGGTGGCACTGAAAATAATGAAAACAAAAACAAAAAACAAAAACAAATGACTTACACAAACTCAAACTCTTCAACTTTGAACTCAAAGCCACCATTATTCCAAACCCACCTCAACCTTGTATCTTCCATTTCTTCTTCCTCCTTCATGCCCAGTCTTACCATAGCACTTGCTGTTCCTAGCACTTGCCCCTCCCCTAGGCCTTCCTGTGCCCCATTTCTTCCCTCTTATATGCTCCTACTTTTACTTGCAAGAATGGAAAACCAACCTGTCCCTTAGGCCCAGCTCTAATATAAATCCCTCCCTTGGAGTTCCTGCCCAATTTCCTCCACTGGAATTAATCTCACTCTCTTTGCACCTCTCCTATAGAACTTACCATACCATCTACTTCAAGCGAAAGAGCCAGCTCCTTGAGGGCAGGAATCTACTCTAAATTTATCTTCGAACCACTGTCACCTTGCCTGGCCCAATGCCTTGCACAGAAGAGGCACTTCTAGTCATTTTGTTGCATTCAAAGCACTTTATCCTTTTTAGTTCACCTCTGTGACCAATTACCTAATATCTGTAATGGGGATTCCAATTCTTCCTCTAGACAATACAGGTTGACGACAAGCCAGCATACTTAATGGAGCCCCCTTGCTAAGAAATAGCTGTGTGAGTCTTTGCTGAGTCTTATTGTCAAAAGCAAAGAATGTGGGGGCAGGGAGAGTGACTTCCCCTCCCCTCCACAGCTCTCCTGTGGCTGTGGCCATCCTGCACGGCGTGAGCTACAAGCTGGGCAGCCTGTGCACAAAGATAACAATAGATTTCAAATACAGTCCTGACTCCTTCCATGCTACAATATTCTCTGTGAGTCTAAAGTCAATTGTCTGAAAAATTAAAGCGTTCCAAATGGTGGGATAATGCATTAAACAAGCCAGTGCACAAAGCCTGATCACAAGGGAGGAGGATGGGAACCAGAAAACACAGGGTTCCCTAGGAAACCAAACCCACTTTATGGCCTTTGCCTCCTTGAGGGAGGAGGAGGGGTGCTCTGAGAAGGCACCACTGACCCAGCTGCTTCCTGTGCCTGAGGGGCTCTGTTCCTTCTGGCTTTGCTCCAATGAGTTGGGGAGACTCAACTGAGGCTTGGCTGTTGCTTGTTTGACTATTTGCTGGGGAGTAAAGAGCAGAAGAAAAGAGGAGGAAGAGAGATGGACAGAAAAAGAGATAAGCACAGAAGGCACCTGGCCAGCAGGAAGAAATTACTGACCACAGAATAAGAGGGCAGGAAGGCAGAACTACAAAAGGCTGGCTCATGGAAGCAGAGGCTCACTGTGAGCAGGGCACCACCAAACCAGCAAATGGGTTTACCCTCAGCTGCCCAAGAGGCCAGCTCTGAAGTCAGACTAGAAAGGTATATATTCTGGGCTCAATGGCAGAAATGGTTGGACTGAGTCATGCAAAGGGATGGCTGTAGGGCCTGGGTAGGGCTTTTAGGGGTCCCCTTTATGCTCTGTAATCTCCATCAGCCCCAAGCAGGTATAGTAATAATATAATTTCTAATAATAATAATAATAATTAAGTTTAAACCTTTAGGCTAAAGATGTCCAGTTTATTTGGGGAAGAAATAAATGCCACGGGAATAACTAATTAGTTGACTTTCAGAAGGAAAAAGAAAAGATTCTGTTTCTATAAGACTCATGGAATAAGTATATATTCATAATAATCATGCCTTTTCTTTAATGAGTTAAAGAATGAGCAATGAGTTTTTTTCAGGTGATCACATGACTTATGTATCAGGTAAAAAGAGAAGCTGTAGTACACTTGAAGTATTTCTGACTTGCCCTTATAAATGAAGCTGTTTCTAGGGATCTCCTGTCCAGGGTTTGAACACTTATGATGCAGGTGCAGCTGCTAGACAGGTTCCTGAGCTCTACCTGATTACTACTCCTAAGGGCCTCCAAGCAGACATTCTGCAGTGGCTCCCAGGAAGGTCCGGGAAATGCACACAGTATCACAATACTGCCAAGATCAAGGTTAATAACGATGTGTGTAGAGCCCTTGGAGTGTAGGTTGGCTACAATACTATAATCCCAGAATCTTAAGGATGAATGAAATGTTAAAGAATATCTAGTCCAGGGGTGCCTAGGTGGCTCAGTTGGTTGGGCGTCTGACTTCGGCTCAGGTCGTGATCTCACAGCTTGTGAGTTTGAGCCCCATGTCAGGCTCCATGCTGACAGCTCAGAGCCTGGAGCCTGCTTCGGATTTTGTGTCTCCCGTCTCTCTCTGCCCACTCCCTGGCTCTTGCTCAGTCTTTCTCTCTCTCTCTTTCAAAAATAAATACACATTTAAAAAAAAATTAAAAAGAATATCTAGTCCCATTGTTTAATGCTATTTTTTCTTTAAAGAACCTCTGAATTCATACACATGCACACATTTTCAAGGTTGATACCAAATGCCAATATATTAGATGAAAGTAGAACAGAACAGTCCTGGTTCAAGGGGAAAAGGACTCAAAATGCTACCACCTGGGCCATCCTTCTGGCCCACTTGGCACTCCCATGGAGCCCTAATGTTCTAAGAACACTGGAAATCACAGATCTAGTCCCCAACCCCCAACCGGCCTCTTGTCTTCATTTCTTCCAGCCTGAGCATAGGTTTGCCAAGTGGCAATAGGGGTGACCAAACACCTCTACCTTTCCTCTACCAAGGATCTATTTTACCCACACCAAGGACTCCACATTATGAATGATTTCACCTCTCATAAAAACTACATTTTTGAAGCAGTAGCTTATTTATTTGGTGTCAGTGACACCTCAACCTAAACCTCTGTCCTGCTGTGCTTGGTAAATTCGGGAAAATTCCTGGATTCTGTGAGGTAAAAGTAGAAACCCAGCAGATGCTTTTCTTCTCTTCTTCTGCTTTCTAGTTCTTCAAAACAAA